AGTTTTCTGGCATTCTATTGAAATATTGAATTTGGCGCTGCATAACAAAACCATCCTTAGACGATTGGGATCATTGTATCGACACATTTAATCAGAGTGCTTTTAAATGGTGCTCAGATATGCTGAAGGAGCCTACGAAAAGCGGTGATTGCGACAAGAAGCAGTTCGCCAATATTGTGAAAAAGACCCTGTTTAGTTGTTTTGTGAATTTTGCTGTTTTTCTCAAGCTGGAGACCTTTCCACGTTAAAAATGTCCATCGCTTCTTCTTTCTTGGCGTGTTCTGTAGCAAAATTCCGTCCAATATTTTGTGTTTTACAACAGAATCAGGGTTAGCAGACTTGTGCCATGCGCTCCGTGAGGCCACAGCTGCGGCAGCCGCGGTGACGTGAGATCCTCAACACGCGCCACTGTAGCCATTTCTGCCGTTGGGAGGCCATAAGTACACCATAACTCCGGTCGAAAACAAAACTAAAATAAATGACTGGTATCGCTTTAATAGAAATAAGAACACACGCGAAATATTACGTCAAAGTGAAACCGCGCACTCCACTAATACCGATTTTAAAGATATGACCAGCTAATCTTTAGCACGTAGCAAGCGGGTTAGCTTTTACTCCGGCAACACTGGGCGACGCGTGCCGCAGCACTACCGTGACTTCACGTCGCGACCGTACAACTGATACCAGTGTTGCCATCCCTCTCTAGCACATATTTTTGGTTTTGCCGTATTGACGCCCGAAATCAAAGTTTGACTTGTGATATTTTTAAAACTACACGCAATATCATCGTCAGTTGAAGAATCTGAACTTCTTAGTTCTGTTCAGCCTTGCATTCTCTATTCATTGACGTGTTGCATGCCATATTTCCTTCGGGTAGGAGCGGCTGATTCAGGCAGTCACCGCGCCGCCGCAGAAAGGCGTGACGTCAGCATCACGTGACGTGCGGTCCGCTGGGCGAAGTATCAGATTTCTTCCCGGTGGGAGCACCGTATTACGTGCGGAGCCTTCGCCAATGTCTGCTTGTAAAGTGACACACTCATTCATTTTATACGCATAAAAGCCCTTTAACGAACGCAGCGTGAGACTCAAGGCCGGGGCGCTGCGCGCCGTCACCACAACTGCGGCCATCTAGCGGACGCTGTGCGAAACTGAATGCGCAGCTGTCCTCGACACATGCGGTTTATTAGGTTCCAGAGGGCGTGGCTCAAAAGTAGCGCGCTCGCTTCACAATCAGGGGTCTCGAATTAGAATCCTGAGTAAACTGCTGTGAGTTTTTTTTTCGATTTTTATTTTCAAGCATTGGGGTATATTGACAACAGACGCCCTACATCATCGCGAGTGAAGGGAAGAGCCCATAGCAGCTATTGCCATAAAATACGCATAAGTGTCATATTTAAAGGAACAATGCGCTGAAACAGACATCGAAGAAAGAGTAAGTAAACAGGCGAGCTAATTAATGTTACACACATTAAAAAAAAAAAAATCGGAGACGACGATTGAAGAAGGGGACAACCTTAAATTTTTTTCTTCTCTTTGCGTCCTGCACCTCAGGGTTTTTCAGTGTGATGATTTATCACCAGATCGCTGTGCGTAGACTCTTATTTTAATGTTATTGTGTTTGTCTTTGGCCAGAAGGCAAGTAAATAAATACTTGTTTTATTTAATGCAGGTAATGCCGGAGAGGTATTGGAGAAAAAAATACAGAGAAACGCGCGGGGGGTATCCTTAAGAGGCAAAACAAAACAAATGAAACGTTCGGTATTAGAGAGCTTTTAGTTCTTCGACGTGCACCGCGCAGTATAGATACACGGCCGCACGCCAGTACGATGCACATACGGATTGTAACGGGCAGGGACAGGGGTCGATCCCGGGACTTGTGGGTTCTGCGGCGCGAGCTGTCACTCCAAGTGCTCTGAGCTACTTTCTTATACCTTTATTACCCAAGTTCTCCTACCTGTGGTGCATGCTTACTCGGCCACCGGACCTCCTTTTTCGCGCTAACGGTTTCTCCATGTGTAGATGCAACGAAGCGAACAGTGGGAGAGCTTCTGGAGTACAAATATTCCGGGCAAAAAGTGCCGTTTCGCGTTTCATGGGACCTCATGTGCCTTCAGATAGATACCTCTCGAGGTATCTGTTTTGATCTGAGGCACTCCAGGCACCGTCGTTAGCTCGAAGGAGGGTGTCACTCACCAGCGAGTCTCTCCCGGGCGGCGGGTCTGTGACGGCGAGCAGCTTGCGTCCCTGGGCGTCGTACGCGTGCACCACGAGGCCCAGGTTGTCGGCGGGGTGCCGGAACCAGTGCGACACCAGCTTCTTGGCCTCGAGCTGGAGCCAGAAGCCGCGGCGCAGGTTGCCCTTCTCCTCTTTCGTCCGCACCTGCGCCAGGCCAATCAGGTGGGTGCGTGTTCACAGCGCCTTTCGCTTTACCACAGTTTCCTCCAGGGATTTCCCTAGACCCCCCCTAGGGGGGGTTAGGACCCCCCCTCGTTTTTCCGAAGGCACCCCCTTAATTCACAACGACTCCTATATTCGCAATGCTCCCCCCCTTTAACCCCCCCAAAAAATTTAGACACCCCCCCTGATTTCTATTCCTGGGGAAACCCCTGGTTTCCTCTATACTCCCAGAGCCTGGCAGTTCGACGACGGAGCCATAGAGTGGCCGGTCGCAGATTGGGAGCGCGAGGATCTGGCAGCACAGAGCATCAGAGAGCCATTTTTCAAAGAACCTGGACGTCAGCGCACAGCTTTTGCAGCGGCGAGGACCCGAAACGCGCTTGTTCGCTCGGGAGAAGTGTGTGTACAATGAATGAGCAGTTTGTCTGCGGCTTTTCAGATTCTATTGTATAGTTTTTAGGGAAATATTGTTTTTAGTTTTGTGCTGTTTTTGCGTGGCTTGATCTGAAACTGCGTGACTTCTCATTTCTGTAGAATTTTTTTGTTGCTTTGAACTGTATACGAAGGTAGGGGCCCAATCGGGCAGCAAGAATTTGTTTCCTTGCCTCCCTTATCCGGTAGAAAAAGAAACAAAAAAGAGATTCATCTGAAGTCCTATGTCTAAGTTCGTGTAATGGACCTATCACTTAGGTTGTCTCGCGAGCCCACCGTCAGCCCATTTTTGTGGAGAGAAGGTTTTGTTTCCTGGCACAAGCACTGCCGAATAATCCGTTCCGGGGCCATACTTTAGCCGGACTGATGATTCGCCAAGCCTCTAGACGGAGGAGAAAAGCTCACCTCCAAAGCTGCGAACCAAGCGTTCACTCGACTTGTCTTTTAACGATCTAGATAAACCCGAAAAGCGCAGCTTGTGTCGTGCACGCATTCTATGCGTAGGTAACGATTTCTTACGCTCAGTTAGGAGGGACTCTGGGTAGTTCGGGATGGCTTGCACGCATAACACACTCGTGGTGTGTTCCCCGGGTTTATCCCAAGCACGATTGAGACGAGTTCAATTTTATTCGAGAGTGGAGTGCGTGAGGTGTATGCTTTATTAAGAAGTTTCCATGGCTTCTTCCGAGGGTGCATTAGCTCCCTGAGTTCTTCGTGGCGGTGGACTGCGAGGAGCTCTTTGTGGTAACAGAAGTAATGCCGAGGGAAAGTTCGTCTGCTTCTTTTGCAGGGGTTGTGATGTCATCAGAACGCAGAGCTCTGATTGGCTCTGGTTGAAGGATAGCGGGTAGACCTCAAGGCAGCTTGCTTTCAGGTCTACCCCCTATCCTTCAATCAGAGCCAATCAGAGCTCTGCGTTCTCACGTCACCACAACCCAGCCTAACTTGGGCTCCGCGTAGACCCTTTTCAAAAAAATAATCTCATCAAGCAACAATGATGGTCGCCATTTCTTTGGCACGAAGCGTGGGATTGGATCCGAGTGGTTGCCGAACACTGACGCAACACTCGTTTTCATTAAAAGCCGAGCCGAGTGGACGTCGAACGCTGACTCAACCCAGTTGTCCAATACATGATCAGAGTGCATGATCAAGCCATGGCGGACAAGCAATGGGGAGGACTTTTGAAAAAAATAAGAGAAAGAAAGGCATATTTACGGAAGTTACGTTTAAAGTTCTGCGTTTTCTGTGTTTATTTTTTTTCTCGTATTTTCAAGTGTTTTCTTGAGAGGAATTTTACGAAGTGATTCGGTGTTTCATCGATGTCTGCTTTCGATGACGAAAAAAAAAAAAAAAGTCGGCGCTTCTGCTTGCTTACCGTTGAAGAAAACATAGCACGGATTTTCCAACGTCGGGGGAATACGTAAAAAAATGTCCCAGAACCGATGAGAAAAAAGAAAATGAAAAGATAAGGTTTGTGCTCCCTGAAGAAAGGAGCACCCTCTGTGAAAAATAAAAACAGCGCGGTCTGTCTCCCCGGATCGAACCACACTAACTCGTCCAAAGCCCGTCCATACACGAACAAGTGGTAGGATATCTCGTCGAATACGGCAATTCGCCATGGGCTGACTGTGAAGACGGAGAACTGGACCAAGGTACCAATCAGCCGAACTGGGTGTAGTTGAACATGGTTTTAATAAGCCGCTGTAAGAATTATCTCGGGGTACGTTGGCGACAATTCGTTTTTCTGAATGGCTTAACATCTAAAAGCAAAGAAATAATCTCTGGTGTGCCTCAGGGTAGCATTCTTGGCCCGTTGCTTTTTAACTTATACGTCAATGATATCGTACATATATGTCAACAGGCGAAGTTTATAATCTATGCGGACGATACTAGCATATTTCTATCGTCGAGCTCCTACGCCGAGATAACCAATATGGCAAATGATGTTCTACGTAAATTAAGCTCTTGGTCAAAACAGAACCGTTTAAAAGTTAATTCTAATAAGACTAAAGCCGTTTTCTTCTATACAAGAGGAACGCCTATCTCATTGCATCATAACATAGCGTTTAATCACACAAACATCGAAGTTTTGGACACTATAAAAGTGCTTGGCACGTACTTCTCCAGTAACATGCAATGGGACGAGCATGTTAACTTTGTACTAGTCAAACTTAGTCAAATAGCTGGTATAGTGAATCGAAATAGGTATATTCTTCCGGAATCAGTTAATTTATTAATCTAAAATACGCTATTTGTATCTCATATTAACTATTGCCATCTTGTATGGGGCACAACAACAGAATCTAACCTCCATAAATTACACTTAATGCAAAAGAGAATGATACGCGTTATTGCCAATGTCTCATACACCGAACATACTGATTACCTTTTCAAGAAATATAACATTCCAAAAGTTCATGACATATACCGAAGGAGGCTTATGCGAGATTTTTATTATAGCCTTAGGAAAAATACCTCTACACTCTTAGAAATAGGAAACTTAGAAAAAAGGCAACCTTCGCATAAAACACGAACTCCAGAACCATGGATAGTTCCTCGTTCTCGGACAAATTATGGTGACCAAATGCTTAGGAATACTTTGCCTCGACTACTAAATTCATTTGAGGAGGCTGGCACCGATATATTCTCTATAACCCCTTCTGAACTGAGATATCTTTTGTGTTCATTTTCTGATACCGGTGCCCTTAGAACTGCCTGAGATGAAAACGAGCTATTTCCTAGAATTGTTTTGTGTTCCTTTTCCGACCTAATCATGTTAAATTGCAACCAGGAAGTGTTTTGTTACTGTGTGTGAGTGTTTTGTGAGTCCAATGCTGCCATCATTTAAAGGGGGCCGAGGGCCCCACAAGCTGCGTTTGTAGCTTTTTTCCTCGGCCTCCTCCATTCTGTATGAAATGGAAAACCAATAAAGAAAGAAAGAAAGAATTAAAATCAGGGCATACCCCCATTGTGTCACGGATGGGACCATGTAGGTCATTTTGTAAGAGCTCACGTTCATGTTTTACTAAGCCCTAGAACAGCTGGCAGGTCTTAGGAGGGGCGCAGGTATGCGAGGTGAAAGGTAGGATTAACAAGTACTAACTAGTAGTCGTGAGTGAAACACTTTTAATACCAGTGAAGGACGTCAGGGTTATTTATTTCGCTCGTCGTACATAGGCTGCAGGCGTATCCACGGAGGGCCAGGCTTTAAGTATAACGAGATAAAAAAAAATAATATCGTAGACCTGTATTGTTGGGAGATATGGAATGAGATTTTACTTGATGATTGACAGCTTAAGAAGTGCGAGGCGAGTCCCGCGCATTTCATTATCTCTCCACAGCCAATCAGGTGGCGGCATCGGACGATAAGAAGGCCGAACAACCAATCACGAACCTTGAAAATAGTAAGATACGCCCTGCGGTTTTCCGCTGTCGGTGACCATTCGGGCAGAAACGAAGGGAGCTGCACTCGAGGGACGCGTTCGAACGCGGACGCCGGACGCCGGCGTTCCGGATTCTTTAATGCGTGCGACGACTGCTGTAGAGATAAAGGCAGCTCGGCGTTCGTGCGTCCCCGCGCTCTGTCTCCGTTTTCCTCTTCTTCCTCAATTTCTGCCCGCATAGTTACGGGGGAGTTGAGCCATAACCTCGTATGTACGGACAAAGTCTGGCAGATCGCCACGGTACGCGGCCGCCGAAGTCAAGTAGATGGAGGGGCAGACAACGGATGAGGGGAGAGCCACGTGACTTGCGCCCCGCTGCGGCGAGACGTCGAAACACACTACTCCCAAGCGAACAAGTGTGTTTCGGGTCCCCGCCTGACGTCCAGGTTCCTCGAGAAACGGCCGTTGGGTGCTCTGTGCTACCAGATCCTCGCGCTCCAAATCTGCGACCGGCCACTCAATTCTATGACTCCGTTGCCGAAGTGCAAGGCTTTGCGAGTATAGAGGAGGCTACGGTTGAGCACATTGCGTAAACGGGAACGCCAGATGGCGTACCACGAAGGCGGGGCGCGGCGACCACGCGGAGCACCTCTTTCTTTATCTCTCCTTATACAAAGAGATCACGGCCTGGCGAGAAAGTGGATGAAGAAGGAAGCGTAAACATTCGGTAAGCTGTCGGTGACCGTCTATCCGAAAGCGGTGAATGACCAAGAGCGTCTAAAAGACGCGCATAACCATAAAATGCTCTCCGACTAATATTGCGGGTGTACAAAATTTGCCGACCCTGTCCGAGGCGGCTTTCTTCTTTCCATGAGGATCCCGTCTCATTGGTCATACAAACATGGTCTGCGGACATGTTCGAAGTAAACACGTGCATAACATGTTTCGAACATACTTGACGCGTTTCCGCATATACTTCTGTCATCAGGCCTGCAGCGAATGTCTTTTGCACCAGCAGGGTGACGGTGGCTTAATCCAAGCCGTTGCATGCACGCGTGGGCGGAGACAAGCCTCGAGCTCAGCTCCCTGCTCACCTTGACCAGATGGGGTCCCCGGACGGCGTCCCTGGCGACCTGGTACAGCGTGACCCAGGCGGCCCCGGATAAGGACTGGTTGGAGGACACAAAGACCCACAGGTGGGCCTTGGCCACGTGCAGGTTCTGCACGCTCTCCGAGAAGCGGAAGTGCACCGCTTGCCACTCCGGGACCAGGCCCAGCTCGCCGGGTGCTGCCGAAGAGACCGCGTTCACCCCGTTAGCACCGCCGGACACCGCCGGAGTACGGTGCCTGGAACAATAACGTTTAGGATACAAGGCCCGAGCTTTTTTTACCAAACGTCACAACCAATGCATTTCCCCAGTGCCACCTAGCTTGCGCCACCTTGCCTCCAGTTTGATGACGTCATGCGTAGGCCTTATCTCTTCTAGGTGATGGGATTCGGAGATCAAATCGTCTGTTTCTTGCGCAGGGGCTGCGGTGACGTCGGAACGACGCCGTGTTCTGATTGGATTTGATTGGACGGGTAGTTGGCAGGCCTCAATGCTAGATGCTTTGAGGCCGATCTCATTTTTCTTTTTTATCAGCCATTAAGAGCTCGGCGTTCTGACATATTCACAGCCCCTGTGCAAGAAGCAGACGAACTTGCACTCCGCGTTGCCTGGAACGCGTTTTCGACAGGTGCGTTTAGTGGTGCGTTGAGCATCAAAAGTGGTACCGAAGTGGCGATAAATTCCGCCCGAGGAGGCGGCGTGTCGTGTTCTCGGATGTCGCGACCCTGGCGGTTGGGCGTAGAAATGTTCGCGAAAAAGGGCGCCAGGGTAACTGACGTCGCAGCGTCCCATCTCGCGTCTGCTTTGGTTTCCGTAAACTGACAGCAGATTGACCCGCAGCAGAACGGCGTCAGCCGTAGCCAGCTCGCGGCAGGCAACAGCATGACACTTTCATGACGTCATGCGGGGAAATCGAGAGATCACTTTTGAAGACGTGGTAGGCACGCCGGTCGGAGACGCGCTCCAGGCACCATAGCCAGAGGGACACCCAGCTGGGCGCTGGATGATCGCGACAAGTTTACTTAGCGGCCTTTGGCGCGCAAGCAATGTTGAAAGGAAAAGGCTGCACAGTTGGGGCGCGCTATACGCTTCTGACCTGGTAGGTGTGTGAAGTACGTTCTACATCATGAACTGTGCTGCGATTATCAACGCAACTATACGTGCACGCCCTTAGACAGTTTTGTTGCACGAGTTGATGGTTTTATAGAGTTTCCCTATATTGCAGTGTTTTCCGATGAACCAACCAGGTAAGCGTGACCTTGTAAAGAAGCCTATTCATCTATGCCCGACACTGACATTACAATCAATAGATTGTGTCTTTTCGCACATAATACGCGCAATACTATTAAGATCCGTCCGTTCTATGATTATCTGCTTGGCAGAGCCTTTGGGACTCCCATCGTCGGCCGTTCGCGCACGAAGCATTTCTCCGGCTGCATCTCCTGTAGCGAGTGGAGTAGGGACCAAGGAAACTAATCAACAAAACATTAGAGGCAGTTAAGCCTGATTCCATGTGGTGGAATTTCCTCGCAATTTTGCTGCTGCGACGCTGATCGCCGCAGCTTCCCCCACGATTGTTTGGCCGCACGAGCGACGTCGCAACTGGGAATTTGCAAGCAAAACGCACCGTGTGAATGCAGATTTAGAACTGCAACCTGGCTTATGAAGGCGCCATCAGGACACAGTTAGATCTGCTTTGTCTGCCCAATTACAACCAGCCAACATATGTGATAGTGCTCAGCACGGATGTTGCAATAAGGCCTGACTGAGTAACTGCACAGTGTGAACTATCAAGGGCCCAATGATTATATCCTACCGAGTGCAAGAAATACTCCTTCCATTTTAATCCTAAGAAGATATACATTGAGTTTCTTGTTCGCGTTTATTTTATATTTCGTTATTTATTAGATTCTCATTTCAGTACTACTTGCTGCACGATTATGGTTGTGCCTTTACTGTGTAATCTTATCTTTCCTCGCTTACACTTTTGTCAATTGTATAAGAGCATAGCTCAATGCATCACGCATTATATTTGTTTCTTCAATCTCATTGTAAATTTTCTATGACATACATCCTATTCACTGTTCAATTTGTAACCAGCCCTAAGAGGCTGGTTACGGATTCTGAAATAAGAATATTTACTGCATCTAATATATATAGGACATTCCTTTCTGATCAATAGTTGGCTTCCGAGCGTCTGCCCAAGCTTAGGGCATGAACGTCGCATGACCTCAGTCTTCACCGCTTTCTTCCCCCTCCACTACGTTCCTAACAAAATGTGCCGACATCCGTTTTTCATCTACATATTCCACAACTTTTTTTCAAAATGTGCGTGAGTTGTTTCGTATTCAAGTAACTGCCGAATGCTTAAGCCTCCGGAAAAGGACCTCTTCAGGCTGGCATTTTAACTCAAATCAGCCCTGTTTCCACTCGTGCGATTGGCAAGTCAGCTTGAGCCGCGGGTTGTGCTTCACGTATGAGGGCCTCCATACCTGAAGTCCTTTACTTCGAGGCCTTCAAGTACGAAGGCCTTCATTCGTGAATGCTTCGAAAGCTTCAAATATAAAGGTGTTCGAAATCCTCGTCCGTCGAGAGTACGTCTACCGCGATATCGGAAAAAAGATGTTTTGTTCACCAGATATCGTTACAGTCCCACGTTATAGCAAAACTTTGCTTTATGATAAAACACTGCGCTAAACAGAGAATAAACATCAGGCCAAAGAAGCCACGCGACATTAGGAACACAAATATTGCAATATAACGACTCCGAGGTTCTATAATCAGTGACAGATTAAAAAAGAAGCAGGATGTGAGGAGCCATCTTCTTCTCGCGCCGCAGCCAATGAGACTACAGCATTAGCCGATAAGATTGCCAAAGGGCCATTCACGAAAAGTGGGCACAATAAGCCACGCCCCTGAACTATAGGCCAACATCTGGGCATCATTACAAAGTTCGGAAATTAAATTAGTCGGAAACACGTCGTAACGTGGAACTAAGACCTTCCATTGCAGCGGTGTGCGAAATAACACAGTGACGGGTAAAGTAAGGTCGCAGTGTACGATGACATTCCAAGATGCTTGGTTCAGACGCTCGGCTCTTTCATCCCGTGTAGGCGGTTTAAATTGGCGGCTTGCTGGTGGCAGTAAAGGTGCGTAAAGTAACGGACAGCTCGAGGAACGCAGGGCGCACATAATCCCGAGCGTCTTATCATCGATGCGTGACCAATTGCCGATAGAACGAATTGTGCGATCATGATGGGCGTTCAACACCCTCAAAGCCAGAAGAACATGTGGACACGTGATCTGGAGGCGATGATATTTGCCGCGAACGTTTATTATAGCCACGCGCTGGGTTTGGCAAAGCACACGCGCCGAGTTCCAAACTTGGTAAGGTTCGAATGTTCCCGTCATTGCGGCGATTGGGCACGAACTATACTAGCTGAATGTACGCCGAGGCATCGATTGCCACGAGCCCAAATCGAGTGCTCAAGTAGTGCTTGCTGCCGGTGTACGCCGCGTTATCTGCATTTAAATACCGTCACAACGGGGATCGCGAAGCTTGATAACAAGATCTTGGGAATTGCGTTGTGGACGACGCCAACAATGGGATCCCACAACTTCCTCGTCAAGATTTGGAAAAGAGAGGCTAAAAAACAAGAACGTCCGCTTTTATTCCTGAATTTAGGCAGCGACAAAAAAAACTTCTTCGTCAGTGGCGTTGCGTGCGAGTATATTTTGGTCCCACTATTGCCGGTAATTTTGTCTAAAGTGAGAAACATTCCTACCCAATATTGGTGCAGAGCCCCTTTAAATACTCTGGAATTGCCAGTAATGGTAGTAACCAAAGGAGTTCAGCTGCAGTATCTAAGCAGGAGACGCCAAACCTACTTTCACACCTTGCCACTTTCTCTCGAGAACACCGGTACGGGCGGGGTCAAACGTCAGCCCCACCCATGATTTCTTCTCCAAAAGGGAGCCCGCACCACAACAGAACTTGGTCTAGCGGTGTTTATTGAAGCGCCAAGGCAGACTGTCCCCTAATCCCCGTGTCGAAAAAATCAGGTGGAAAGGCTCGCCTTGTCGACACCATCACGAGAGCGCAGTTCAGAGTGAGCGAAGGACCACCCTCACGACAAGTCCGTCTCCTGTCGCTTCCGCGGGAGGAGTGCCCTTGTTCACCAAGTCGGGAACGCGCAAAAACCAACTTCCCTAGCGAGCGTCGTCATCACTCAAAACAAACAGGTGTTCCCAGATGAGCTGGGGACGTGAAATGTCCCCCGGGAGAGAGCGAAGAGGGAGGCTCACTAGGACGGGCTCTCGGCAAGGTGGCCAAGCGTTCAGTGACTTTTATGGCGGCCATCAGGGCAGGGCGGCCAACGGTCCCCACAAAGCGGAAGTGTGTACGATACTAATAACACGAGCATGCCATTCGTGAAGCCGTGACCTGTGACATCAGATGACTTCCGTTTCCTCGCTAGATTTAGAGGGAAAATTGACGTCGCATGACCTCAACACCAATTCAGTTTCCCCGCTAGGTTTAGGGGGAAAACTGATGTCACACGACTTCGTATCACGCGACCTATACAAAAATTCAGTTTCACCCGTTAGATCTAGCGGGAAAATTGACTTCACGTGACCTCAGAGCGAATTCAGTTTCACCGCATATTTCGCGGAAACACTGACGTCACGTGACACGACGTAACGTGACCTACCGTTTCCCCGCTAGATTTATCGGAAAATTGACGTCACGTGACCCACACATAAATTTAGTTTCCTTCATGAATGTAGCTAGAAAAATTGACACGTGACCGGCCGCAGCCCGTCATTCCCCATACCTTGGGAACGCAGGCTCAGAGGATCGCTAAACGTGTGCGTTGCGAGAACGTTTAAAGTAACCAACACAATTGCCTAACAGTATGCCATACAATTTTTTTTATTAATATCGATTATTGTTTTCAGTAACGTGTTGTCCGAAGTAATATTTTTTTTATTCAACACAGACAGCACTCGGAACTCGGAAGTTCCGCAGTAGTTCTCCTGTTTGTGGCCTGCTCTCGCGCGGGTGCGCTAGCTCCATTGAGTGCGCTTCACACCGCACTCTGCAGCGCTGCGGCGAAGCCACATTTGTGAAGTACCCATTAATATTCTGCGTAGCTCGCACTGCAAAAAAAAGAAAAGC